TAAATGGTGAATTAAAAGAACAAAAAATTACTATGCTGTACTACACAGAATGCAAATTCTACATATTTTCAATGTCTTACAGAAAGGGGTAAAATACAGCCACAGACCTAAATATATGAGAACAGAAAAGAATTAAGAAATATCACAAAAGCCGAAACTGGTTTGGCTCAGTGGTAGAGCGTCGGTCTGCGAACTGAAAGGTCCCGGGTTCGATTCCGGTCAAGAGCATGTACATTGGTTGCGGGCATATCCCCGGTAGGGGGTGTGCAAGAGGCAGCTGGTCGATGTTTCTCTCTCATCGATGTTTCTAGCTCTCTATCTCTCTCCCTTCCTCTCTGTAAAAAAAAATCAATAAAATATATATATTAAAAGGGTAATCATTTTTTTAAAAAAAAGAAATATCATAAAAGACAGGTACCACTTATAATTTGACATTGTTACTTTAAAGACAATATGTTCTTTAATGTAGAGGTATTTTCATGATAGCAGAGTAAACAATTAGAACAACTGATTACTTGTCTCCTGCCAATTCCTGTCTATTAACTGAGTAAAGCCCATCTCAAAAACATACCTCTCATGACTGAGTCTGCCTCATTCTTTTTACTTAGTATTCTCATGCCTTATGTTTTCAAATGTTTATCTTTTAGTCTCCTCATTCTTACTTTCTCTTATTTTATCCCAACTTGTTAATTTTGAAAAATTCCTTATCTATAGACAAGTTGAAAGAACCTATATATAGTTAGATATAGATGTAGATATAAATATAGATATAGATATAGATATAGATATAGATATAGATACACACACACACACACACACACACACACACACAATTTTTCCTGAAGTTTTGGAAAGCAAATAGCAGGCACCTTTGATCAAGGATCCAATAACAGATCACACATTACTTTTGGTTTTCATGTCTCCTTAGTCTCCTCTAGTGTAGAGAAGATTATCCCATCCCACCCCCAACAAACCCTAACTTTTTTTTGTTGTCACAACACTGACATTTTTAGAAGAGTTCAGAACAGTTGCTCTAAAGAATATTCTACAACATGGACCTGTTACTTCAAGATAAGATACAGGTTAAACATTTGGGTGAGACATATTTTTGGTTAAACCTTTTGGTGAGACCACCATATATTGATGTTTTCATTGAACAGTCCTCATATTTTCTGTCTATATTTTACATTCTCAAGTAAATCCTATATAATAAAGAGGTAATATGCAAATTGACATCACTCCAACAAACAAGATGGCCGCCCCCCATGTGGACACAAGATGGCCAGCAGCAGAGGGCAGTTGGGGGTGATCAGGCCTGCAGGGGAGGGCAGTTGGGGGCAACCAGGCCTGCAGGGGAGAACAGTCAGGGGCAACCAGGCCTGCAGGGGAGGGCAGTTAGAGGCAAACAAGCCTGCAGGGGAGGGCAGTTGGGAGAGATAATGCCTGCAGGGGAGGGCAGTTGGAGGGGACCAGGCCTGCAGGGGAGGGCAGTTGGGGGCAACCAAGCCTGCAGGGGAGAACAGTCAGGGGCAACCAGGCCTACAGGGGAGGGCAGTTGGAGGGGACCAGGCCAGCAGGGGAGGGCAGTTCGGGGAAACCAGGCAGGCAGGGGAGAGCAGTTAGGGGTGACCGAGACAGCAGAGGAGGGCAGTTAGTGGGGACCAGGCCTGCAAAGGAAGACAGTTAGGGATGACCAGGCTGCAGGGGAGGACAAGTTAGGGGTGACCAGGCCAGCAGGGGAGGGCAGTTAGGAGAAATCCAGCCTAAATGGGTAGTTGGACATCCCTCATGGGGTCCCCAGATTGGACAGGGTGCAGGCTAAGCTGTGAGACAACCCCCCTCCCCCCGTGCATGAATTTCATGCACCAGGCTAATTATAAATAAGTTCTCTAAAAGATATGCTCTTGCTTTTTACTCCAAGCCTTAGCATAATCTCTGCATATGTTCCATAGTCAATGAATGAAAACTTAAAAGGAGAGTTAACAACTGTTTCGCACATTTAATAATTTTATACTAGACTATAAATACTTGGGCTTTGCCTCTAAAATTTTTGAGAGAAATAATTACACATGTAAGCAGTTTAGCACAATATCTAGTACATTATGTACAAAATAAATCTGGGAAAGAGCTAGGGCTAACTGCAGGTATTAAGCAGACTGAACTGCTGAGGTTAGAAGAGGATGAAATAGTCACCTATATTTATGAGAAACTGGGCTTTAAATGAAAGATTGAAACAATGGCATATTTAATAAAAATCTGATCTTTTAAGTCTCACTTCTGTCAAGTATTGATTAGTAACTATTTCTCAGAGAAGAAAGAATTTAATTCCTACTTGAATAATAAAGCAGTTGAGAACAGTACACAAGAACAAAAATATGGCATGAAAATCAAATTATGTTATGCAAAATAGGGTTCAGAGAATACTTAAAAATATTTTCAAAGCATCTAGTATAATTTAGAAGTTTACATTTAAATAAAGTTTACTAGATTGAATGTAAAATAAAAATGCTACCTAATATGTCATGCCCAGGAGAGAGAAGCAGTAACTGTAACTTGTTTGAACAACTGCTTCTATACAGAACCAGAAACTTGTAAGTAATTTAGATACGGTGTATTAGAGAACATTTTGTGTATAAGCTATTCCTAATTAAGAGCAGGTTCTCAGCCACCAGCTGCCATTTTGAAGTATGTGGCTAATGATTAAAACTATTCCTTTACTCTCCCCACAGACACATATTTTAAGAGTTGGTCATTATGTGATCCAATTGCTTTTAATACAGTGTTTATGCTTCTCTTCTGCGGGTGTTTTTTCTTTCTTTTCCTTCTCTATTATTAAACTATTGAGAGGAAAACAGAAGTTTTATTTCAATCAAATGCAACTGGGAAAATGTATCACTACATGATGCCTATAAATGTCATATGTGGTAAGCTTCTGTAGATTTATATTTCCTGAAAAAATGGTAGATGCATTGTCAGACATCTCATAGCTGCAGAGAACTCTGTAATACTGGACACAAAACAATTCTAAAAATTGAACAAGCAAGCTAACTTTATCTTCCTAAAAAAAATACTACTGAAGAAATCTAAAATTATATGAGCATTAAGAAATGTTCCTTTTAAACCAAGATACATTCAGAAAAGCAATCATGCAAATAGATTTAAAATATACCACATGCTGTATAAAAACTGATTATTTAGTATACTTGCCTTTAGATACACAATATTACATAATGAATAGTTTTATGACCCACTTAACTAAATAAGCTCATGTTCCTTCCAATTTATAGTAGAGTTATTTGGTTTGGCTGACAGATGTAGATTTTTGGTTCTATGAAAAAGAGTAATTGTGGATGCTGCAGAAAGACAAGAATTACACGGAGAAATGATATTCCATATACTATTGACTTTTACAAACAGCTCTAGCAAGAAAGCAAACATTAACCTTGGGTGTCAATGTTATTCTCTTGCGTCAGAGTAAGGGTTATGAAATGCTAAATAATGGAATAACAAAGTCAATTCTGCAATAAAACAAGTTCAGATAATTTCAAATAGAAACATTCTAACTATGTGTCATAAATACCTTCCTAATAAGGCTACCCCAATATGGTGTTTAATCCTATATAGTATTTCAAATATTATATTTTCTTCACATGGAACCTAATACCCATTTTCTTTAATACTTGTAGGAAGAACTTTTATATATGAATATATATATTTACACACACACACACACACACACACACACACACATGTGTGTGTGTGTGTGTGTGTGTGTGTGTGTGTATATATATATATATATATATATATATATATATAAAAGCCCAAGCAACCTAATGACCGAACCACCAGTCAACTGGTTGCTAGGATGCACACTAACCATCAGGGGTGCAGATGCTCAATGTAGAAGCTGCCCCCTGGTGGTCAGTTTGCTCCCACAGCCAACCTTCCCCATGGCCGGCAGACCATCTCAATAGGCCCTGATCACCAGCCAGGCCGAGGGATCCCAATAGTGTACAAATTCATGCACTGGGCCTCTACTTTATTTATAATTAGAACACCAGGGGTGGAGAAAATATGTGCTTTTACTGATAAAGAGATGAGTAAATCTCATAAGATAATTTCCTCCACTTTTTTTAAAACTATACCAAATAATTATCTATCCATCTGTTTATCTAAAATCTCCTGACAACTTAAAAGGCAAGATTGTGGTAAAATATAAGCCATAATCCCTGTTTTGTACACATTTATAACTAATCCTAATAATAAAAGCTTAATATGCTAAGTGTCTGGTAGTCCAGTCATCTGTTCTACCAATCAAAGTAATATGCTAATGATATGTTAAGGCCACTGTGACATGCATGATCACCCGGAGGCAGATGCTCTGACAGGTAGGTTAGCTTGCTGCTGGGGTCCTGCCAATCGGGACTGAGCTAGTCAGGCCAGACATGCCCTGGAGCCCTTCTGCAGTCCCTACCTGGCTGGCCAACCTCCCATGTCCCTCCCCAGCCCCAATCGTGCACAAGTGGAGTTCCTTGGCCTGGCCTGCACCCCCTCACAATCTGGACTGAGGGATCCACCTATTGCATGAATTTCGTGCACTGGGCCTCTAGTATTTACATAAATTACTAGAAAGATAATATGAAATTCATAAAATTGAGCAATACAGAATATAGGTTTTCATCAAATAAAGATTTCCGTATCATAAATTGAAAAAAATACAATGTTTTATTGCATAATATCTTGCTAACAATAATGTATATTTAAAAAAGAATACCATACTGAAGAGCATCAATTTTATCTTAGAAAATTCAAGTTATTAATTCATTTATTTCACATATATTTGAATATATACTAAATGCAAGGAAATGTGAAGTACAATTACAGAAGAATTTGGTTGATTCCTTCCCCCAACAGATTACAATTCATTGCGATCAGCACAACTATCCCTTAAAATGCTTTGTCCCTTGAGATACAACATGCATTCCTTAAGTTGTGCTTACCTGATCTTGTAGTGACATCACTGGATTATTTTTGGTAGTGTTGATATGAAGAACATGGTATTTATTCTTTGCACACAGGTCATAGGCAATATTGGTAAAAGAGGTGCTTGCGGTTTTGGGAACTCTGTTATAAATGATGACCATGTCGTCTTCCTCATCTAAAGCTGCATCTTGTCGAGGGCCATCCATTGTATGACGTTGCTCAATTTCTCGGACTTCATGTCTTGCAATAGCCCTTTCTGCAAAGAAAAACAGAGAGGAATTTAGTTTGTAAAGAGACTATACGGAAGTTATAAAACACTGAAAATAATTTCCTACACCTGGAATATAATTTCTTTTCTAAGAATTGGGTAAGAGCAGATGAAAAAATGTTTTGAGGGCCAAACATCAGAACTATCTTTGAAGGATGATACGTCCTATATATAAAAGCCTAATATGCTAAGTGTCTGGTCATCTGGTCAGCTGTTCAACCAATCAAAGCGTAATATGCTAATGATATGCTGTGGACACTCAACCACTCACTATGACATGCACTGACCACCAAGAGGTAGATGCTCCGACGGGTAGGTTAGCTTGCTGCTGCAGTCCTGCCAATTGAGACTGAGAAAGACGGGCTGGACAGACCCTGTATTTCTCCCATGGTCCCTCCCCAGCTGGCCAACCTCCCACATCTCTCCTCAGCCCCGATCGTACACAGATGGGTCCCTCAGCTTGGCCTGTGCCCTCTTGAAATCCAGGACCCATCAGGGGATGTTGGAGAGCCAGTTTTTGCCCAATCCCGCATGCCAAGCCAAGGGACTCCACTGGTGCACAAATTCGTGCACCTGACCTTTAGTATACATATAAAACAGAACTAAAGAATACCCAGACCGGAGAGTTCTTTAGTTTAGTTCAAAAGACACTTTATAGTCTAATAGAATTCCCATAGTTTGCCCTAATTCTCAAAGACAGGTTATATGGAATACTAAATTTCATAGTAAAAAATGCACTTAAAAAATACATCACTTAAAATGTAAGCAAAGATTTTGAAGTTTACTATTTGGGATTTAGTTATTTCCTGGTTTATCAAAAGGTATCAGGGCAGTGGTTACAGTGCTGTGTCAGCACAATATGGGTGTACCTGGTAGGGGAGGATTAGAAAAGATAGACAAGAGAATAAAGCTGGGGCTAGGTGGGATGCTGCCCTCTGATTAGAGAGACTGCCACAGCCTGCAAGCTGAGTCTTATAGCCAGATTTCCATAAGGCAAAGAGCATGGTCAAGATGTTTACAGTGCTCTCATGGGTTTTGAAACTTAATTAATTACATGCACCTGAACTCTATCAAGTCCACATCACTCAGCCTCCTGGGACCACAGGTTCAGATCTAAGGTCAAGCTTACAACTATAGCCTTTGGCTATAATTGTGCTGGGACTTGCAGGTGGCTTTGCCATGAGTGGATCGTGCCCTCTCATTTATCCAAGACTTGAACCTGTCCAAACTCTGTAGCCACTCTCAACATCCCGACCCCCCCCCCTTTTTTTTTCTGTTTTTAAACACTTTCATTTACATCATCAAAAGCTCTAGGCAAATTATGCAGCATAACCAAAGCATAATCAAGAACAAACTTCTGGCTATTAACAAAACAATAACAAAACAATGCAATGCAACACACCAATAAGAGAAACCAAACTCAAGACATGTTAACGTTTTCAGAGCTATTTCTACAAAATGAAAGTTTCTTTTGCTGCTGGAGTATATCTTACTCAGATAGTCCTCAGATTTGGCTGCATAAGACTTTACAGATAACTGGTAGCTCACTAACGCTAGTATAGCAAGAAACATGGTGGAGGGAGTAGCTTCCATTTCTGGCTTTTCTACCATCTGCTGGGCTTCAGTCACTAACTTCTTCAGCTGACCCCATGTTGGCACCTCGGTCTCTTGTGTAGTCTTCATTATCTTCTTCTTTTGCATCACAATCATTGGGGAAACTCTGAGCCTTTTGAACCGAGGGACAAGGAGCTTCTCTGGGTCCGCTGCATGTCCTCTAGCCGCTAGTGCCACTTCTCTGTCTCCTCAATGAAGAGGCCCCATAGCTGCTGAAGGTCAGCGAGCCTCTACTGGATGGCCTTGGCATTCAGGCTGTTGCTGTCGGTGACAATGCTCTGGCTCCTCTCGAAGATGCTGTCGATGTGAAGATGTCATCGATGTGAGGCTGTGCCCCTGGATTTCCTTCTGGAGGGTCTGATTTTTCTTTATTGTCCTCAGATTTGGACAGTAGCCACTGCTGCATAGAGTCCTCTTCCAGAAGTGAGCAGCCCTCGGTCCCGCAGAGCTGGAGACTTCCAACTCCAAGTGTGGTGTCCCACACAGACCCAAAGTTCCAGGGAGCTATCAGGTTACACAAGAAAGAGCAAAGCACCTCAAAACTCAGAGATAATCAAAGCCCAGGAACAATGCGACTGCTGCAAGAGCTTACAATCTAGGCCCACTTCTGTATCAGAGCATTTCCCAAATAAAAGTTACTTCCCCAAACAAACAGTCAAAAGTCATATTAAGGTCATCAACCACAGACCACAGCAGATAGTCCTTAGACAAAACTTAAGAAATTTAAGAATACTTCATTGAGCATTGTTTTAGAGATCCCTTTCCTGAGATGGTGAATTTGCCATATTTTACACCTAGCAGCTACCAAACCTCAGTCCCTACCCTACTTTCATTTTCTGCGCATGCTTCATGGGAGCATTCTTTTACCTCACAACCATAATTAACCCCATACTCAGGTCCCTGCTCGGTCACCATTATGTGCCACTCCTGTACAGCCATGGGTGAACCTAAGGTGGGGGAGGGGCGGTGAAGGTTTAAAGAAGACAGACAAGAGAATAAAGCTGGGGCCAGGTGGGACACTGCCCTCTGATTAGAGAGACAGTGCCACAGCCTGCAAGCTGAGTCTTTATTTTATAGCCAGATTTCCACAAGGCAAAGAGTGTGGTCAAGATGTTTACAATGCTCTTGTGGGTTTCAAATCTTACTCAGTAACATGCACCTGAACTCTATCAAGCCCACATCACTCAGCCTCCTGGGACTACAGGTTCAGACCATAAGGTCAAGCTTACAACTTATAGCCTTTGGCTATAATTGTGCTAGGACTTGCAAGTGGCTTTGACACAAGAGGATCATACCCTCTCATTAGTCCAAGGTTTGAACCTGTCCAAACGCTATAGCTACTCTCCACAGATTGTAAGTGTTGGTTTTGATTTTTTAGGTAACAAGAGTGGAAGCAACACCATCACAAAACCTTTTTCTTTTTGGTATTACATTATAGATAAGCACTGGCTATATTTATTCCTGAAACCCCGTGGTTCCTCTAATTCAAATCCCTGTCTACCACATAGTTTAAAAGCAATTACATTTTGTTTTCTACTACTCCCAATTTAATAGAAATTTCAGTTTCAAATATTTTTTTATCGTAAGAGAGCAAGAAAGAGGGAAGGAAGAAATGAAGGAAGAAAATATCTAGCAAGATTGCAAATTTCTTTGCACAGAAATAGCTGCTCCCACATAGTATGCACCTACTATTACCAGATCTTTGTGTAAGCTATCACACCTTCCTTAAATTAAGCACTTTTCCATTCTCTCTCTGCCTGATGAATTCCTCAACCTGCACATTAAATTTAATCATCACTTGCAAGGAAAACATTACCTGCTCTCCCTAACTAGGTCAAATTACACACTGTAATGTATGTATGCACAGTGTACTTCATACTACATCTTATACTTATTATAATTGCAACTTTACATTATATATGTATTGTTATTAGTGTCTGTCTATCATAATGCCTATAAATTAATAAAGTGAAAAAGCAATGAGCTATGATTATAGTAACAAATTCAGGCTTCCAATATTGTTGGACCACAACTCTTAACTTTTGATTCAGAAAATAAGGTCACCACATTACAGAGAGCACATTCAGAGCTGAGTATTCACATTTAGAAGACTTGAACTAATTTTGTATAAATTAAAGTTCCAGGCCTCTCAGCAGTGGGCTTTGCAAAACAGGAAGAAAAGCACCTGTATGTATAATTTCCCCTCCCTTGGGACATGGATGGAAATGTGAGGAGAAAGATGAGCTTAACATTGAACACACTGTTGGACTGCCTGAGACATCAGGAGATGTTATGTTGGTAAGTGGGTAGATAGGCTGAGAGTGGAGAATAATGATTCAAGTAGAAGACATCTGGGGAAACCATGGGAATGGATGAACTTGCCTAATAATCTAGAATATGTAGATGGGGAGAGATGCTAGGATTCAATCTAAGGAAATACCAACTCTTAAGGAGCAAGTAGAAAAGATAATCCAAAGAAATCAGCAATAGAAAAAAAAGAAATACAACAGACTTCTAAGAAGCACATACCACATTTCAGAAAACAGTATTTTTCATATTGTCAGGGCTTTCCAAATGAAGCTATAAATCAAAGTAGCATATGATGCTATATGCATCTACAAAGGATTTGGAAATTGTCTCAAATTAAACTGAGCAAGTGTTTGAGAGTCTATATACATTATTACATTAAATATTTTTTTTAATTCTTCCAAACAACTTCAAACTGTCATCATAGCCCAAACTATTAAGGCATTGTTATGTCTACACACCCTCCTTTTTCTACTGAGAGAAATGAAACATGCTGCTGTCATTCAAGTGCTGACAGAGGTGTGAGGGCTTTCTCCAGCAGCCCAGATATGCTTGAAGCTGCCTTTAAAATTAAGATTTGCCTACTATCAAATTCCTAGTTAACTTTTACTAGTTTTTCCAAAATTAAGTATTTAGAAAAGCATATTTTGTGTTTTTTCACAAAAGAGTATCCATTTGACCTATAGAAAATATGATTACAGAAAAACTGCAACATTAAAAGTTTCTGTAATTATTCTTCCACTTAAACATTTCAGACCCAAAATTACTTTGAAAATTAACCAATTAAAATATTTTTAAAAGAAGTTATCACTTAGTCTGTGGAATTTTTATATTATAAGGTGCTAAAACTCCACCTGAACCATGAAACTAACATGTTTTCCCAATTAATCACTGTTCTTGGTTCATTATGTGTATTAAATTATATGAACTGTATATTTCAGACAATTTTTAAGAATTTCTTAAAATATGAAAAGGTATAAATATGGAGTCACTGCTTTCCTCATTTAAATTACATATGTATGAATTTTCTATTTTTCAAGTATTTTTACTGCTTAAACAAACAAAAT